ACTTGGGATAGACGAAATTTGTCTTTTAACATTCAAGTCTGGCACAAGGAGGGTGGGTGTCGATTCGGTTAAAGATTAAGGGTTTCGGAGGAGATGGAACGTGAATTTCGAGGACGCGATGTTTACGTTCGACATTAAAACTTTAGTTTTAAAATTTCGGTGTTACGACGACGTTCGCCGATGCTGACGCCGCGACGCTACGTAAAAAAGTTTAATAGAACTTCATACGAGATGTTACCACGACGTGACAGTGAAACGACGTTGAATGTTACTTGTACGTTACTGCACGATAAACATGTATGTTTTTTTTTAAATCTTTTTAATTTCAGCCAAAAAATAGCTTCAATATCTATTTCATTTCATAATTCTCTCAAGTGACTAATAAACTTCCCAAAGCTTTCTTTTATGGAAATAACATAGGAAATTGACACGTTAAACGTGGATACAATACAAAAATCGACATTTTGCTTTGCAACGGATGAACCATCAATCACCCATTTGGCAGTTTGCATCGGTTTTCCTGCAAATGGGGGTGCATAGAACTACGTCGTTACAATTCACCATATGGAAAGAGCGCCTCTCATCCGAACTTTTTGCTTCTATCGAAATTTACGTCGATAAAATTTCCGGTTTCGGCCATATGTTGAGCGCTTGTCTATATGAGAAATCTTTAATCCCAATATTCGCCTGTGTACAAGATTCTCCTCATATCCTCATACCTGAATCGTGTTTTTTGAAGATGGGAAAAGACGTTATTGGTAAATTGGATTTCAGACGCCTCGTCATTATAGAGGAGGACCTTGTGGTGTGATTTTTCGGTCGGTCACCTCGAATATAAACACGTGCGTTGTAGCGTGTCTTATGGTTATTGTTATGAGAGTGTTAAAAATTTTTGTAAGCCACCGAAATAGTGTCAGGTACCAGTAAACCGTTTAAGTTCAACAGATTGAAATAAAAATTCCGTTTAATATTTCTGTGGAAATCCTTTTAGATTTAAAAAGGTAAATCTTAAGTACAATTTGTGGTAATACACAAATATGTCTTTTACCGTTGAAGATGAGATTAGATTAGATATGCTGAGTAAGTCTATCTCAGCGTGATTGAGAAATTGCTTCTCCACTGACAGAGTAGTTATATCTAATTGCCGATTAAGCAATTAATCGTGAATGCATCTAATTAGTGTGTGATACAATAATAATTTGATATTTTTTGTTAGATATAGTATATACTATTTGAAAAATATTTCGCGCCATTATGTGTGTAATTATTTCAAAGTTGACTTGATTAAATTACCCTGTCATGATGGATGAAGTGTCATCCTTCGGTGTGAACCAACCGCTTGCATTGTGATTCTGGTTTGAAACTGGCGTTAATGGAATTCCTTTGCTTACTTGCTGGGTACCACCTATACAGCGACTGTGAAATTTTACATCCCATTAGGCAAGCTGGAAATTGCCTGCTCGCTACCCGAAACAGATTAATGCAAAGTGTGTGGACAGCTTATTTTATGTAGTTACAAAGTGTTATAAAACTTTATGTTACAGAGAATATTACAATGATGACAATATTACAAACCAGATTGCATACGTTTGGGTCATAATTTAGATTGGGGGCGATTGTCGTTGACGATTGTAAACCGATTGAAATGGTTGTTCTCGTATCAACAATATCGACGGTCGTCGGCATAAATTTCAAAACATAAACCATATTTCGCTTCCGCGTTTCGGTAGTAAGCTTATCGTGGAAAATTTACTGACGCGTTTTTCTTTATCAAATTTTCCGCCGAGGGGAAAATTTTCCATCGTCGTACAGCTAGGTGTGTAGGTATATTTTTTCCGCTTTAAAGGGGAATCTGCGAGTCGCAGCTCGGGACTTCTAAAAGAAAATGTGAGACGGAAAAGAAAAATGAGAAAGAGGGAGTACTTGCGCCGGGTAGATATCAGATGCGAAGCGTTTAGCGCGAAGTTAATAAACTGATTTAATAATATCTTACTTTTTAATAATAAAAAATGCTCGACGCTACAAAGTTGGATGGAAAATGGGAGCGGAGAACATGAAATGTAGGATTTTATTAAATACTTCCAGTTTAAGCTTTGAAAAATATCCTACAACAAATCTCTAAATTAAAAATTAAATTTCATGTAGATAATCATGAATGTTTGATGTTGGTAGTAATCGGTAGTAATCTAAGAATACGATTTTTGTTAGTTCTTTACCACCGCCCCTTGCTATTTTGAAAGGAGGGTTCGTACCCTTATCAAACACGTGCAAGTTTTCTCAGAAATAATGACACGCATATTGTAGCGCGAAGATAACAATGAAAGAGGAAGCGTGACCATTATAAAGCGTCATGAATCAAATTTATACCCCCTGGAACGGAATACATTATCGGAAGAATTAATTCTGCTAAACGCTCGTTCTTAAATAAATGATACTGTGTCGTTTTAATATCGTATCAATTTTATTTCTTCGAACACCGTTATAATTGATTTTGAGAACATGACACCATAACATATTATTTTGATAATGAAAAATGTAGTAACGTCGTATACAGTTTTTTCTCTACACTCGAAACTTTATTCAAATAAATTGTTAACTAATTTTAAATATAATGCATAATCTTTTTCCAGAAATTACGTATATTACGTGAGAAATAAAGATGAAAATTCATGCATATCTGTATACTGAACAATCTATTTAAAAAAAATTTTATTCTTAAGATATATTGCTGAAAAGTTCACAATATAAAAAGAACTGTGTGTGCTTTTTAATGAACGGAAACGCATTTGAAAAGCTCTATTACTTTTTAGGACAAAAACTTTTGAAATTAATCAGATATTTATCACTTTGTAAAATAGTTTATTTTCTACAATCATTTTTAAAAAATAGGGAAATTAGAATTCATAAGATATCTTGCTGAAATGCTCACAGTATATGAAGATAAAAGTATGTGCCTTTTAAAAAAAAAACCCGCACCAGAAAACCTATCGCTTTTACGATAATATAGAATAGTTTTTATTATCAACCAGAATTTATTAATTTATAATCGACATCATAAAACCAAATCGCCCGAAGCATAGGTGCATTAGGCAATTTATAGCTGTTTTAAACCTAGTCTCCTTGCGTTTTACAAAATGAACAATCCCAATTCGATCCTTCATCTGATCTTCTGCAAACAGCAATACAAGAAATTTGTCTTAATTGTAAAGCTATGGAAGATCCCGCTCTTAAGAAAATATTTAATGAACTCATAAAAAGAGGTGAAATATTAAAAATTACCAACATCTCATGACCAATGACGCCGAAGATGCTCCTCTACACGCTAAACCCAATCAGATGGTCATGATTTATGTTGACTACCTAGAGCACATGATTATGTCATTTACTGAAGAAAACTACTGAATCCTGCGTTCTGCTATCGTAACAAAATTGTGGTAGATGATAAAAGGAAAGTACTTCACTCCAGGTTGTAACAGTCGAGTGGGCAACCAACACATATCAGGAAGATTTCAGAGATGACTAAATCTTGATATCCATTCCTTTATCAGGAACATTCAGTTTCTGCCTCTCCACCCAGCACGTCCTTCAAAATTATAAGAAATATCATACTATATGAGTTGATAAAAAAGATTCTTCTCTATCATGTCTTATTAGGCTCTTCGTTTCGCTTAACGAAATCTTTTTCACCAGCTGGAACTGGATTTGAAAGTGCTAAAGAAGTCCTTCCTCCCAATCCCAAAGATCAACAGACGGTTCTGGATTTTATCATTCGTTGGGGAAGAGCTGGTAATATCTACGTTGACGGATTGGTCCACCAAGTCTATGTCATACATCAAAATTCAGATTTGGATAATTAGCTTCGCTAACGACGCTTCACTCCGTGTTAGTACCACCATTGTAGTGACTTCTTATTGCAGATGATCTGTGATGATATGTGATATAAAAGAGTCATAAGAGTTTAATCATGTTTTAGGTGGTTATACTGGTTTTCGTATCAGATTTACCCTCGACGGTAACATTTTTCTTACAATTATCCTAAAAAGAGTTCTGTTGAGGTAGTTCCCGGCGTGTCTGGTCTTTGGAGACCGACTGGTTCTCTAACAGAAGTAAGCGACGTCTATTTCTGCCGCTTTCCTGGTCTGCCTGGCGTTTTGCTATATCTAGCGGGAATATAACAACAACAAGTTTACATCTAAATTGGTTAAGCAAGTCTACTTCATCTCGAAATCTTTTAGACAATTACCTTCTCTTCCTTTTTTATAGACATTCTTAAAAAGACTTCATCATTACATCAGCGATTAGATCGTTGATTAGAGTCTATTTCCTAGCTTGCACACAGAGCAAACTTACGCTGTTCATTCAGTGATCAAATTGGTTAGCAATGTGCTGGACCACAAGAAGTCTTTCTCAAGAAAAAAGATAGCTTTATTAAAGCACAATATTTTCTCGGTATTTCGTTGCTGGATTAAGAGCAATCTAAAACTAATTGTTAAATTAAAGGCTAAGCACGGAACTGTTTAAGGAACAATTACTAGAGACTATCTGTATTGGCAATACAACTTTCATTTCAACAACCACATAAATATAGCCAAGCGAATTTCATATTATCACAACTTAGCTACATATTAAGGAAACGGCTTTGGTAGCCATGGTAAGGCTAAAATCTTCCACAGTTCATCTCTTGGAAAAAGTTTATGTTTCATGAATACAAAATCATCTTCTGCAATTATCGTTTTCTGATCGATCTCAGTATGAAGGCCTACTGTATCACTGACAACAAGTGGTATCAGGAAAACAACTCTCAGAGACATCTTTGAGAAATTCCATTGCTGGTTGATAATTCAGGTCACGTCAATGAGCCCTATGAGAATGCGATAACGCATAACGTTACAAGAAAATTGTTAGAGATACACTAATGAATAGCTTGCGGTAGTCGATGACGCGCAAGATCCCGATACTTAAATTCTATGCGTTTCTAATGATGTTAAAATTAATATAGATTAATGTTCTATAATATTAAATTAGAACTTTTATTTATATTATTTTTGATGAAATCATACATTTTTAATGGCACATCTAACAATAAATTGTAGTTTTTTAAATAAATTTTTAAACTGAGTTATTAAAATCTGTGTGTCAACCCAGCAAATACACCATAGTTGGGGTTTCCCGTTCCAGAAGGTCCTCCATATTGTCTATCGTAATTTGCTCCAATATATGCTTGAGTATTCCGTTCATTTATGAAGTTATAACGACCAGATACACCAACATTAGTTCCTAATCCATCAAGATGTTTAGCTGAAGCACTGAGAGTACTTGCACTTGGCTTATGAGTATAATCCAAACTTCCACCAACACCAAAAGGTTGATGTTTACCACCAGAAATTGCACCTGTTCCCATAAGGTTATGATTATTGTTATCAATTATAGTTCCAGTATGACTTATAGTTGCTCGTCTACTTGCACTATCATAGATTGCACTAGTTTGTCTGCAAATTAATAAATTAATATAAAATATATAAAAAAAGATTTTGTATACCTTTTTGCTCTTCCTCGCGCTGTAACTTCAGAATCTAAAGGTCCTAAAGAACTTGATGATTCGAAAGGAACCAAAAGATATTCTTGTTGACCATCGGTAACGATTTCATAAGCAAAAACGCTCGTAGCAACGAAAATAAAGAAGAAGATGAATCCCTTCATGTTGTTTTGATTTGGTATTGATATTAAGTTAAATTTACTCTTCGAGTAGTAGAAGTGGTTTAAAGATTTGCACATTTTCTGCTTCTTTTATATGGTGAAATTGATTGTTAAAAAATCGATATAAAGGGGAAATCCATGTGAGATTAAACATTATTTATGTCCGAATCTTTGTTGTTTCCGCGAATAATCTCTAAAGCAGTACGTAAACGGGGAATTCCATTATCATTGCTGTCGGCTTTGTTTTGATTTGGTTATCATCACGAGTTATTTAAAGATTGAGATTTATTAAAACATGTTAAATTAGTTAATGATAAAAAATAAGTTTACGACAGCCGTAATAATCGGGGAATACCTTTAAAATTAACTAATTTTGTTAAAGGTTAATTGGTTTTTCCGTAAATAGTTATAAAAAGAATAATGCTAAAAAAGGGAAGCCCCTTATTTTTCATTTAATTAGTTTTCTCAAAATTCGTCTACAATTTAATTAAAATTTTTAAATTTTTAAATTTTTTTTAAAAAAACCTAAAGAGACATTTTGTAGGAAAAAAGATGTGATCAGATAAATTATTACGTTCGGTTTATCCAAAGTAAGGGCAGAGACTGAAATAAGGACCAGAGAAAACTATACGAAAATATACCCGACCAGGTTGCACACGACGAAGTCTCTGCTCATTTTTGATCAACTTATTAATGGACACAATAATGGAGGTTGTGATTATTTTGAACCTAGGGTATAAAATGAGTCAAAAGAAAATCTGTAAAATATTCTACGCTGACGATTGTACCGGAGATCCGCCACATTATCAAAGCTTGCATTTCTTCCTGCACTATCCCACAGTGCTTAATCCGTTGATAAAAGTACACTACCCTAACAAACATTTGTTGAATGAAGATGCGAAGTTAATGTTATGTGATACCTTGATTCTCTCATCATTCAATCACTACGATCTTGTTTATGGTCCTCGTTTAATGATGAAGGATTCGCAGAGGATAGAAAGGGTTCAAAAATCTTGTTTGAGATTTATTTACGGCATACGTCGTAATGAAAGAGTATCTTATAAGTTGGTTAATGCAAATTGGTTAAACAAGGTGGAGCGTCGTAAAATTCATATTACTTGTCGAATGGTTTCTATTGTCTCTAACGGCAAGCCACCTTATCTATATGAAAGGATCACGTACAGAACCGATATTTATCATGTATTTCATATGCTTTACATATGCTTGGGAAGTATTTCTGTTTAAAAGCAGCATTATTTATGTGTAATAGTTTTGTAATCGCCCGTTTTGGTAGATGTTTCAATGTTTCTCCATTAATTAGGTCATAGCTTACTGATTTCTTTATATTTAGTTTTTGTATTTCATAATACAGTTCTTTCATTCTTACACATGGTATATTACTCTTGCTGATCACTTTGAATTATGCCAAGGACACTATTTAGCATAGTTGTTGGACTGTCTGATGTAAAAGTTTCTTTCAGATGTTCAACAAACAAATTAACTTTTTCTTGGTTGCTCTTCACCCAATTTCCATTATTATTTCGAATCGGAGGTGTATGTGTTTTTGGAACTTTAAGGTTTCTTGTTGCCTTCCACAGAGAATAATCCGTGCTGCCATCGTCAGTAAGGTCTTTTAAGTAATTTTGGATATTATTGTCTTTATGGCTATCTGTTAATGCTATTAGTTCGGCTGTTATTTTATTTAATTTTGTTTTATCACTAGGAATTCTATTGGTTTGCCATTTCTTTCTTGCTTTCCGTTTTTCTGCAATTTTGTCTCTAATGAATTTAGGATAAATATTAGATTTAGGTTTTGATGTTAAAATTAGTGTTGAGGCCCAGACTGCGTTTTATATGTCTTTTAAGAACTTTTCTACTTCATTGTCAATGTCTTCGTTTGTTTTCATAAGACCATTAAGATGAATTTTATTATCTAATGTTTGTTGAAATAGATTCCAATTAGTGAGTTTATTGGTTAGTGATTATTTAGAGTAATAATTTCTGGTGAGTGATCTGAGTCCAGCCCTAACTCTTCTTCTATGTTTACGAAGTTAAGCGATATATTTTTCGTAATAAAAAAATCAAGCAGACCCGGAATTTTACTTCTATCTGTTGGTCAGTAAGTTGGCTTCCCAGTGGAGAGTACCTCACAATTTAGGGCATCTCTTGCATGGTTCAGTTCTCTTCCTTTTGTATTTGTCAAGCGAGAACCCCAAGGCATATGTTTTGCATTAAAGTAATAATAATAATAATAATAATGCCTTTATTAACCCTTACAATTAGTGTGCAAGTATAAAAAAAACAAAATACAAAAACGTAATTATAATAAAAAATAAGTATAAAGTTACAAAAACAAAATTACAACAAAATTGCAAAGGCTAACAGGTGGCTGGGTCAGACAACACCACAAAGTAGTGAGGTCTGCTCTTTCCCCAGTCCCCATGAACACAACATATTGCTTCTAAGTAAGTAGTGAAAATGAATACAGCGCACAAGACAAAAAATACAAAAAACAAAAATTGAATGCATGAATAAAGCAAATAACAAATAAAAATTAAAATTTTACTCTAGAAAACCTAAATTGATTCCATCTGCCGCTCACAGAGATATCGCTTGTATTTATATTTAAAACTCGACAGGCTCAATATTTTTAATGAACGAGGAAGGGTATTCCAAAAGTTTGTCACACAATAAGTGAAAGAATTCCGAAATGACGCCGACGCGTGACGAGGAACTGTAAGTGCATCTTTTCGACGAATATTGATATTGTGGATGTCAGTACGATACGATATCTTCTTGCTCAGATAAACAGGTGTTTTTTTATTTAAAATTTTAAAATAAACTACTCCCCTGTGAAAAATGATTCTGTTATACATATTTAGCCACCCACATTCTTTTAACTTATGTGAAATTCTGCAGTACTTTCGAATTCCATAAATTAGTCTTAAGCACCCATTTTGGACATACTGCACCCGCCTTCGATTGTCCCCAGTTATGCAAGCACCATAGACCGAGTCACAATGATTAAAATTGGATAAAATCAAAGAATCAGTCAGTAATCTTTTACTGTTCTCATTTAATACATGCCGATATGGATAAAGGGATTTTAATACGCAATATGATTTCTGTAGTAACTTGTTTATATGTGAATTAAATTTTAAATCATCATCTATTAACAAACCCAAATTTTTCACAGTGCGTACGTGTTGTAGTTCTTGATTATTTACACAAATTTTAAGATTGTCATCAACAAATTTCCTATGATTTCTGTTACCAAATACTATCACATTAGATTTGCTGGAGTTTACTTTTAAGCCATGCGCCTCAGAAGTGTCAACAAGTGATTGCACATCAAAATTTATTTTGACAGCAGCATTAGTCTCGGTGTGAGGAAATGATATTAATAACTGAGTATCATCAGCATAAGCATTATATTCACAATGGTTCAAGCCCTTGTAGAACACACTAGTATAAATGATGAATAACAAAGGACCACATATACTGCCCTGAGGAACTCCTTTAGAGACAAATTCTGGTTTGGATAATGAGCCTTTAGCTTTCGTATGTTGCCTTCTGTTCAGAAGATAATGTTTAATAAAATCAATTGCCGCCTGACCAAGAACAATGTAGTGCATAATGCTTAACAACAAATGATGATTTATCATATCGAATGCTTTGGAATAATCTAATAATATCATTGCATGCATATTTCCCTTGTCGACATTCCGCAACACACCGTCCACAACATCTATTAGTACAGTATTGCAACTATGACCCGGTCTAAACCCTGACTGATTATCAGGTATGATGTCATAAAGCAATAGGTGTTCGACATTAAATTTAATAATAATTGCACTTCCACCTCGAGCCACATTACTCGGGTGATTTGTGTGATAAATATTGTAATGGTTGATGTTTATATACGATTCTCGTGTAATGTGAGTTTCGGAGATAACACATATATCAATATTGTTTTCTTTAAGTATTATTGGTAGTGTGTTTTGATGCTGTCGATGATCATTGGAATTCCACAGCATTATTTTTAGTTGCTGCTTTTTAGACATTTTGATTTCTTTTTTGAATCCCTCCTTGGTTTAAATTGCTTTCAATGAAATCTATACGTACATATAATGTTTTTATTGTTTCTTCTTGTTGAAGTATTTTTTCTAGTATTAGCTCTAATTTACTGTCGGCCTTCTTATCGATTAATGTACTTACAGTTTTCTCTGCAGTTTCACCACTCGCTTTTTCGGCATACGAGACGCCTGGCTTTATTTTATTTGAGTTTACTATTTTCTTACTACTGATGGATTGTAGTTCCTTAATCACAATGCATCCTCGGTAGTTCGCTGGATGATTTTCTCCACAGTTGAAACATTTAACCAAGATTTCTTTGGCTTTAGTGCATTAGGTCCAGTGTTCACCAGCACATTTAACACATCTCGGTTTATATCTCATTTAGATCAGTGATTGACATCTTTAATATAAATATATTTGAAACGACCTTGAGAATGTATAACTTCGGCTTATTGCAGGTAACAACTTCCTTTTCGACTCGATACAGAAACAACGTTTATAAAAATGATAATGAAGAATCAAATTGTGTACTATCAATATTTACTATAAACTTTTATGGTAGAAATTCAATTAAATTTTCTTGGCACAGAAAACACCATGGTCATTAATGCACATACAGTAGAAATTAACGCGGCGTTATCGCCAAAACGATCTACGCCGTCGACGTGAAAATGGAAATTAAGGGCAGCTTCCATCATTTACGTGGGCGCCATCGACTGCACCGGCAGCCGTTTAAAGGCGTCCCCGACGTGCAAACAGACTGCGAGTCCGCGATATCGACCTTCGGGGCGTGTGTAAAAGGCCAAATTGCTCTGGCCCCGTAAATATTTGCCCTTTGTACGGGGAATGGCCGCGTGCTCCACGATAATGTCCGGCGTAAATAAATATATGCAGAGCGGATATTAAATGTTCAAAGAGGTATTAAAAATATGATCGCGTTAAAATAACACTCGACGTGTTTTTTTTTTATTCAAATTTATTCGAAAGAGCTAATGGTT